AGTAAATTGCCGTATCCGAATGATTTGAACACAGAGGAAGCATGGCCTCGCGGATGGTCACAACTTACAAATGTTAGTTTTCTGTACCATAGTTACTTTCAAACAAACTTAGTATTAAAAGAAAAAAAATTACAAAAAAAAGCATATATAATTACGTTCTCGAGGTCTAATTTTTGAAATTTAAAGATTTTTTTTGTTATCGTATGAGTCATACTACTTTTAAGTGAATTTAATCTTTTAGTTCCATTGAAACAGTTTAATTGTTATTCGCTGAAAATAAGAAAAAATTATCGGGTGGTTGCAATTAAGGAAACTGCCGAAAAATATTATAATGATATAACGAGAAATATGCCTCAGTAAACTTGTTGTTTTCCGTTTAAGCTCAGCATAATAATAGTCGTACAGTTTTATGGTTTGAAATGAATTTTTTGGCTTAAATAAAGCACCAAATTTTATTTGAAAAACTTTAGTCACTGTAAGGTGTTGTTAGTGAATATCTGGGATTTTTTGATTGGTAATTGTGAAAAACGCTGGGAAAAATTAGTCTTAGATTGGTGCTTTAAAGATGCTAAAAATTTTTAACAATTCTGAGCCAAAACTCTACTCTGTAATTTCGTTTCTCTCCAAGGTTTAAATATCCTGAGTGCAAAGGTTTCTTCCAACTAAGGATATAGTAGGCTAAAACATAGCGGTAAATTGTAATCTTAATTGAAAAAAATTTATTTGTTTTAAAAGTATCAAATTGGTCTTTTCACCTAATAATGCGAGTGATTGAAAGTAACTATAGTTCTTCGTCTTAATGAGACTTTCCACTAAAAAAAAAAACGAAAAACCTTATCAGAAATCTACTGTTTTGTGAAGCACAAAGAAGCTTAATCATTTTAAAATAATAACTTTTCTGATTCTTGATTTTCTAATTACTCTTTTACTGCTTATCCACCTGTTCCATCTGACAATAAAACTCTTATTTATAATGCCGCTTATATCAAAGGGAAATAATGGTGGAAAACTGGAAAACAAGAGTTGGGTGTAGTAAAAGAAAGGATAACTGCAAAAACATCTGGCAGCAGTAACTGCCGGAAAAAACTTATTTTGTCAGTTTTCTGCGTCTGTAAAGATGGGACTCAGATACTGAGAAACAACATTTATAAGTGGAAAATTTTTGGAAGAATTCTATGTAAAACAATAAAATTTTACTAAATCGAATTCACATAACTGTTAACAAAACTGTTTGGATAATTGCACTTGGAAAACTTTTTTCAGTAAATCTTTTTTAGTATAGAATTTTGCACCTTGTAAATCATTGCGTAACTTCTGCAGTTTCAACCGTTTCCGTACCAACGCTTTAATCACCAGCGGAAAAAAAAGACTGATTGCAGGTTGGTATGAAACAGCTATACGACTTAGGTGAATTTTTTGGCAGTCGATACAAACAATTTATAGGCGACAGGTTTGATATGAAAAAAGTGAGTATTATCAGTAATATCAGTTTCAAAAAAAAACTGCCTTTCCTGGAAACATTTTTTTCTCAGAAAGAACTGAACGCCTT